CCTGTCGCTCTTTGCCGGTGTTGCAGTGGGTGACGCCTCGGGTGTCACCTTGGTTTGGCACGTGCCTGCGTGTGCCTGTAGCGGGGACTGAAACGGCCGGCCATTAAATTCGCACACCAGGCTGTCAGGAGACTTCCATTTGTACAGCAGGTCAAGTGTGAACCAGCTTCTGCATCTTAACTGACTTCTGTCTACCATCTAGGAGGTGGTAGAAGATGTCTTTTCGTGGAAGAGGAGGAAGAGGAGGTGGCTTCAATCGTGGAGGAGGAGGTGGTGACAGAGGTGGCTTCAGTCGTGGAGGAGGTGGCGGTGACAGAGGTGGCTTCAATCGTGGTGGACGAGGTGGCTTTGGCCGGGGAGGTGGACGAGGAGGCTTCAACAGAGGCGGATATGACCAGGGACCTCCAGAAAGGGTAGTTTGTAAGTTACGTGAAGAGATTGTATTTATTTGATTTAGAATGACTGCTCCAGATCTTTAGCTGGTTTGTTCTTTCTTTATTTCAGTGTTGGGAGAGTTCATGCATCCGTGTGAAGATGACATTGTTTGTAAATGTAAAACAGAAGAAAACAAGGTGCCTTATTTCAACGCCCCAGTGTACTTGGATAATAAGGAACAGATTGGCAAAGTGGATGAAATCTTTGGACAGCTGAGAGATTTTGTATCCTTCAAAAAATGATTAATGTATAGCATTTGTTTTTTAAACGCTCATTGATTATTAAATGGAATTTCTCTAGGATTTTAAAATAGTTCAAGGTTTGCCTGCCAGTTAGGTGTGAACAGTGACAAGTCTAGCTGCAGCTGCTGGTGTCAGGAGGTGCCTCATTCACATTAAGTGCCTATCTTAAAGCATTTCCAGTATGACAGAGTACCTTATATTAGGCAGGGGTTTTCAGTCAGTACCAGTACTGGCAGGTGTCTTTTGGATCCAAATTTTCTGCTATAGATTACTCACCTATAACAGAGCTGGATTAAGGGAGCTGGGATTTTTTTGTGCATTAGGGGACCTTGCTTATGCTCCAGTTTATTACTTAATTACAAAGGTGAGCTTGTGCTAGGATGTCGTATTACTCATTGTCCAGCTTAGTACTTAAACTGCCAATAAAAATGAGCTTGTGCTAGGATGTCCTGTTGCAAAGCAAGCTTGTTGAGGCAGAGGCACTGGGTCCCTTCTGTTGTCACTGCCAGATTGACAGAATCCGTGGCAAAAGCAGGACAACTTGGGGAGTACTCCTGTAACATGGCAGTAAGAATTAGCCTGTGCCTGTGTTGGTTGGTTGAGCATCAGTAACTCCCTGCATGCGTTTTCCTCTCCAACATTAAATGTGAAGTAAAATGTGCAGGTTTAAATCACTCTGACGCTCTGAATGTATTAACTTGCAGATTACTTTTTGTATCAGAATTATTTGAATTTCAGAAACTTGTTTTCTTCCTACAATAATATATTAAGAAAATATGTTAGTGGATTTTGCAGCTCCTTGCTTCCCCATTTAATCTTGAGTTTTAATTAAGCACAATTGGCCAGCAGCTCTTTTTGATCTTAGGAACTGCACACCAAAGTCTCTGCATGCTGGAGAGCCAAAGGATTCTGCAAGTGGGGTTACAGAGAGTGTCTGCTGCTTCACTGTAGGCTGAGGCTGGGCATTTGGTTGGTCCAGCAGTCCCTGCTGGCTCTTATCTTTCCTCAGCCATGCAGTTGTACCAGCGAGCAGCAGCAGCACTAGCAGAGCCCCTGCAGCACGTAAATTGTTCCAGATAGGCCTTGAGGTCACCCCAGGGGGCTAAAGGGGTTGTCACTTGCTATACAAATTTGTTTCTTTACAATTATTTTTTTAATGTACTCTTTCCACTGGTATGTTCTTCCTTAGACATGGAAGGAGAAAATGATTTTAACACAAAATATGTTTGTGAAAACCCTGAGAAAAATGGGAAATAATTTCTCCTTATCTTTTAATAGTAATTTTTCATTTGTGATGGTGATGATGATGATGATGATGTTTAGCTTGATTTATAAAATACTAGTTTAGAAAATGTCTGAATGTGCCTTTCATATAATAATCAAAATCACAATTTCTGATGTTGTATTCCTGCTATGTTCCTTAAAGAAACCAACAGTATTTTTCAGTGAAACTGTCTGAGAACATGAAAGCCTCTTCATTTAAAAAAATGCAAAAGGTTAGCCAGTCTCAGTAACAGAATTCTGCTGTATGTCATCAGTTAGGTAAATCTACTCTGTGTCATCAGATACTAAAAGCTTTACTAAGTTTTTATTAACTTTAAAAGCTATTTGTCATTTGTTAATGTAAGTATTCATTTCTTCTTCCTTTTCAATTTTGTATTTGCCACATTCTTCTTTATCCCCATGCTGCAAAAAAAAGGTAACAAATGAAACTCATGCAAATATCATCTATATTTTAATAGCAGTATTACACTGTGATTTATTTCTTGCATGCTGTCTTTATTTGGCTATTTGCAGAGGACAATTTGACATGAAGGGTTAAGACCAAATTGTGGGTATTTGTAAAGGGGGGTATTAATGGGCTCTTTAGCCATGGTATTTTCAAAGCCTAATGGAACTCTCTTCCTACAGTTTTACATTGATCCAGCGAAGCTGCTGCCCCTTCAGAGATTTTTGCCAAGGCCACCTGGAGAAAAAGGTGGTCCTCCCAGAGGAGGTGGTAGAGGAGGACGTGGTGGTGGACGTGGAGGAGGAAGAGGCGGTGGTAGAGGTAGGATCTCAAGAATGGAAGCTGCAGAATGTTGGGTTTTTGGTGTGGGATGGGAAGTTTGGGTGTTTTTTGGGGGATTTTTGGGGTTTTGAGAGTATGCTGATTTCTAACAAAGACAAAGTGTGACTGCTAAGCAAATGTGGTAAAAGGTTGTAGGTAATACGCACTGAAAATTGTCAGTGAAGGCTGTATTTTTAGTATGTTCTAAACATCTGGTTTGGACAAAGTACTTGAAATGCATTGTTTCAGAAAGGGGTGAATGACCTGGCAGTTCTCATCCTTTGCTTTTTGAACATCATCTGTGATGTTGTCATGGTTTAACCCCATCTGGCAACTAAGCACCACACAGCTGCTCGCTCACTCACCCCCGCCCAGTGGTATGGGGAAGAGGATTGCTGGGGTAAAAAATAAAACTCATGGGTTGAGATAAAGGCAGTTTAATAGCACAGAAAAGGCAGATAAAATAGTAATAATACTAATTTAAAAAGTATTATACAGTATTATACCAGCTACTAGGGAGAAAATGAACTTTATCCCAAGCAAAACCAGGACAGATGTACTCCTCAAACTGCAGTTATTTTTTTCTTACATCACAGCTGCTTGCCTCTTCTCCATACCCTGCCCCTTTGCAGTGAGACACAAGTGTTTCTAAGTTATTTGTTTTGTTTGTTTTAATGTTCTGTTGAGTTGTAATTAACTAATAATTAATAGTTGTAATTAATTTTTTGCTCTCATAAAAGAAGTTTATAATGGAGTTTTGTGAGTGTCTTTAGTATTTTGGACATTGTATATCAGATATTAAACGATAATCTAAAATGCTGCAGATTGTCCCTAGAAGAGGCAAGGTACTAGTAACTGACCTGGTAACTGTCCAGCAACTGACAGTTACAGTTTTTTTCTTGTTCTTTTCCTTTCAGAGGCTGGCAATGAAATAAGTTGCTATGCGTGACAAAGAATTTATATGCTTCTCAAAGTGTAATTTCTTTCCTATGTTTAGGAGGATTTGGGGGAGGAAGAGGTGGAGGAAGAGGAGGAGGATTCAGAGGAGGAAGAGGTGGAGGAGGAGGAAGAGGTGGTGGAGGAGGCTTTCGGGGTGAGTGTGCAATTTTGACATTTCTGCAATAAGAATGGCTGCTGGTTTCTAAAGCTTTTGAATATTAAATAGAATGTTATGTTCTTTAAATTTCTTATGGATGTTTGTAGTTTTATGCCAAAAGTTTCTGTGCATCACAGTAGCTAGCTTAAATTGAAGCACAGTATTTTGCATTTTTTGATGCTTGTGTCTAGTTTTGTGCTGGTTTTTTACATTCAAAAAGGACCATGAGAACAGATAATTATGATAAATTATTTTATTCTATCAACTAATTTAGTGTTATGTATATAATTTAGTTGCTTTAAATGCCTCTAAGATGTGAAATGTTCTGTGTATTTTTCTTCCCTCTTAAAATAGGAAGAGGATATTAAAAATGGAGTCACGAGTATCTCCCTGCTGTCTTACCATATTGCCTGCAGAAGTGAAGAACAAGGAAAAAATTTTGTAAAGGACCCTGAAAAACTTTTTTTTATAAAGAACTTGAAGCTGTAAAGTGATAATTATTTTTACACTTAATGACTGTTGGGCGACACATGAGGAGAGCGTAGCCCCAGGCAAAGAACTGAAGACTGTTCAGAATGTACTTGAACTTTTTAAACTAAGCCAGGATTCAGAATTATTTTTAAACTGTTTGTTTCTTACAAGTGACGTAGTGAATGCTTGAATTCATGTTGGAGTTTGGAGTAAACAATCAATTGAAATGTTTTTTTCAGCAAACCCTACGAGTTCACTACATGCACATTCGTCAGTATGAACCTGTTACCTATGCATGACTGATCCCTAGTTCTCATCCTCTTTTTATATTGAATCTTCTGGGTTGCTCTCAAGTGGACATGCCATTTAAACAACTTCTGTGAACCTTTTTGTACAAACTAAACTTCAAAATTTTGTGTTGATATAATTTTTTTATACATAATAATGTATAAAAGGAAAGGAAGATTGCAAAGGATATTTTGTCTGTTTTTCTGTATACATCTCAATGAAAGCCAAAGGCATTAAGACATGTTCTTCTTAGAAGCTGCTATCTAATGAGTTATACGAAGTTTATACTATTCTTAAGTCGCCTAATTGTATCTAATTACACTGATTTTAAAATTGCTAAGGTTTTTTAACTGATCCCACTTCCTCCTTAGCCTGTTTCTCTTGAGGTTTTGATGTCCTGGCACTGCATCTCTGGTTTTTTGAGCTTGTGTAGGGCTAAGATTAGAGAGCCCATCATGCGGCTCCTCTGCACACAGTGCTTTCAGTTAAGCATTGCTTTAAAAAGTCATGAAAAAAATCTGTGTGAGTCTTTGATCCCTTTAATTGGGTGCATTATGAGGATTGTTGAAAAGCTAGTAACTGTCTCTTCTTAAGGACGGAGGAGAACAGGGTGCCTCTCTGTTCTTCAGCTTTGGAAATAACAGATAAGTAGAATCTGCCTGGATTTCATCCAGAGACAGGAGTCTTCACAGACTCATACCAAGCCCTTTTGAAAAGGGATCTGTAGAATAATCTGCATGAAAGTGTTTTGAACAAGTTGTTCCATGTGGAAAGAGGTGCATTTCAGAATTGATTGTACTGTTACAGTTTTTCATTAACAAATGCAGCAACAGGCAGGTGAGTTATATCAGCCATCTGCTTAACAAAAAGAAGCAGGTAATTTGTCAGCACCAGGATTGGACAGTTACTGGTCATTTTAACAAACGTGACTCTTAGTTTGGATAATCTCTGGAACAAAAATTGGAACAAGGTAGCAAAACAAATGTTCAAGAATTCAATTAGATCTGAACAGATGCTGCATCAGATAATAGATAAAATGTTCTTCAGAGTAAAAAAAAAATACAAACCGCAAAACATTGGAATTTCTGCTCCATCTGCTTTTGTGAGAAGAAACTGAGTCTGTTGTTCAGCTGCAGCACAATCAGGAATTGAGGGATACTGATTATTTTCCTGGTACTGCTACAAGCTTAACTTTAACAAGGTCAATTAAACCCAGAGCTCTGAAGATGTTTAGACTTTTGTTGCTGTATATTGTTAGGCCTAAGTGACTTAGGACTCTGACTCGAGGCTTTGTAGAATCGCCTTTTATCTAGACAGAATCCTGTGCAAGTCCTTGCGTACCACATTGCAGTTGAACACCACCAGCCTGCAGTGCAGCTGCAATCGTCGTTACTTTTGTCATATTTGTATTTGCATCCTCTGCTGTGCCGTGTTTCTTCACTGATGCTTCAGTAGCTAGTTGTGGGTAGCTGACTTAGATCTTTCCTTATTCTGGCTTTCTAAGTCTAGCATAACACAGTCCTCACTCTTAAACCTAGATTCATGCTGTGCTTTGCTATTCCCACTGCATGGTTAAGAGACATACTTGTTCCCAGGACATTAGAAGACTGTACCTTTAATCATCTTTAAATTGTATGATGTGACAGCTGATGTTTCAGTTGCATAAAGTGCCATCTTGCATCCTGGGACAAGAAGCACATGCTTTGAATCTCACAGCAGGTGGAGCAATGAGTCAGCCTGAAGCCATTGCAAGGCCAAAGCAAAGACATCTGTATGTGGAGGGGTTAAAGAACAATATCCATTGCAGCTCTAGAAGGAAGATCATCCTCTTGGTTGTAGGGAATTGGATTGCAGTCCCAACTGAGAAATCCCCAAGGAACATTATGGCATGCCCTGTGCAGACAAACGATGTTGGATTAACAGAATATACAGAGAAAATTTATAATTTTAGGACTTTTGGAGGTTGTAGGATGTTCAGATGCTGATGGAAGAATGTCCTTAGTGATTGGATGCAAAATGAACTGCACTAGGAGGAAGCAGTGTCTGGGGAAGGTTTGTCTTTGTGGCAAGGCCCATCCAGTCCCTGTCCTGCCCTGTCTTCTCTGTGCCATGGCATGACCCTGCCCTCCTTATGCAAATAGTTGCTAACTAATGGATGAAAATACAGTGTCTTAAATTAAGACGACATGTCTTGTCTGCAGTGTAATGCTGCAATGAGGTAAAATACAGGTTCTCTAGTTTTCTATGACACCTTCCTCTGTCTTGAACTTTTTAGTCAAATCCTATTTGTGCTTCTGTCGCCGTGCTCCTGGTCCTAGTAAGTGTACTGTTTGAGTTTGATATACATGCTTATAGATATCTTAGGCTTTTTCTGCAGAGAATAGGGAAGGTGGACTCACCAGCACCCTGACAGAAATAGGTATCTTAGCAGAAATGGGAAGTTTCAAGTAGCTGTAATGTCTGGGGAAAAAAGTCATAGTGCAGTCTGAAGTGAGATGGGTGGGGGGAAGGTTTTACTGTCAGTGTAGGCTCTCGATGATGGCTTGGTTTTCCCTCGATTTCCCCTTACTGGCGGCCTTTGGGCCAAATGGCTGGGCCACCTGAAGAACTTCTCACCTGCCACCTGCTCCAGCAGCGCAGCAAAGCGAGTTACTGTCCTGCAGTATTTCTCTGAAGCTTGGGAAGAAGTCAAGCTTCAGTGCACTCCACAGTGCTTGGCTTCCCACCCAGGTCACAGAGGTAGTGGTGTCACCTAGCTGTCCCCTTGTCCATTTCTCAGTGTCTGCACGTGCTCACTGTTGTCAGAGGCAAAGCATTCAATGACCATGTCCCACTTTGAAAATGTGGTTGCAGGTGAACGTGTTGGCCGCTGTAATATTTGACCCACGCATAAGGTCTGACTTTCAGCTGATTTTAAAAATGACAGCTGGTAAATCACTAGGATCAGGTTGCTTAAAGGTATTTAGAAGACCTTGAACCGTTTGTCCTTGCCACACTACAATTCTGGTTTTATATTTTTTCTATGTGGGATCTAAATCCTTGCTAAAGAGAGGGTAATACATGGAGATGTATTGTAGTTTAAATTGTTACTCATTGAGAGTGGCTTTAATGCCCTGCATTCCTTCTTGGGTGTTTTTTCTCCTTGTATTTTCTGTAGTTGCTGGGATAGGATGGTTCAATATAGTTCAGAGATTTGCTATGTTATTTGACAGAAATTTGATGAAGTGCAGAAAATAACTGGGATATTTTAATGTATGTCTGCAGCACTGTCTGTAGTAGAACAGAAAGGATTCTCTCTAGCACCAACACAGTTACAGACATTTGCCTGAAGCAGTGCTGGATAGTCACATACATACTGGTGCAAAGTTATCTGCAGTTGTGCAAAGCATCATCTTGGCAAGAAATAGCGTTGTCTTTAAAAAAAAAACATAGCTACTGTATGAAGTACAGCAAGTAAAAAGCTTTATGAAGTCACATTTTTCAGGGTGTTTTCTTCAGTCAGCTGAAAATCTCTTTAGTTTAGAGTCAAACTTTCCTAATCGACAGTTTAAATCTAGTAAAAGTCTCTGTGAGGGAGGAAAGAAGTAATTTATTAATTTGCTTTCCATTGGATTTGAACCAATCGACAGTTTAAATCTAGTAAAAGTCTCTGGGAGGGAGGAAAGAAGTTATTAATTTGCTTTCCATTGGATTTGAACTGTGAAAAGATTCATGGAAAGTTCTGCCTTTTAGAGCCCTCCAGTGGTGATGTGCTTAATTAGCCGGGGAGGCTTTGGTTTGGTTTTCGTTTTTTTAGGGTGATTACCACTGAAAATAGGAAAAAGATTTTGGTTTGGTTTTGGTTTTTAATTTTTTTTAATGCAAGCGGTAAATTTCTCTACTCTCATCACTTGTGGATTGAAATATACCTTACACATAACTGAAAGCTTGCTAAACCCTGTAACAAGTTTTGCATTCCCCTTATCTATAGAGATACCTACAAATTGAAGAATAAGCTGAAATATAAATTGCATTTTGTTGCTACTGATCTGGGACAAGTGGAAAGGAAAAACATCACTTGAGGTTATAAAGCTTCCCCTGACACTAGTAATACTATCTGTTATTGGAGGATAAAAACAGCCTGAGGTGTTGGATTATTTTTTTTCTTATGCCAATATTAACAAGCAATATAGTAAGCTGTATTTTATCTGCTTATGAACTGTGGTTCCAACTTTCTGGATTATTTAATTCCTTGCTTTATATTTTTGTCTTTGTTTTATGAACTGCAGTGTTCTAGAAAAAAATACTTTTAGGTTAATGATAAGTAATGTCTGCCTTTAATTTTGACTTTTTTCTCTCAATTTCTGCTCTGTAAAGTTAACCAGATTTGAGAGGAGACGGAGTCAGTGTAATAGTACGGAGGATGGACTGCATATATGACAACCTTGCATTTTAACCAACAAGTACATATAAAATCTATATGATCTTAACTGCTATTCTAAGTCTGGAATCCTATCCGAATAAAAATAGTAGTGCTTTGCTTTTCTGAGACATGCAGCATTGCAGGCTCTGGCTTCTGTGGAAGCTGCAAGATCTGAGATGCTTTTGAAAATCTTGCCAAAACTTCAGGGGAGGAAAGCAAAGATATCAAATTATCACTATGCTTTTATCTTTCAAGGCAGGAGCAGGACTACGGAGCACTAGGGAAGTGGCTTCACTGCCAGGCAGATCATTTTTCCTTTCAGAACCCTCCCACCCTGTTCCTGCCTAATCCTCCTCTGACAGGAAAAGTACCAAAATAATACAAGTACCCTGAGAACTGTAAGAGTATAGATCTGTGGCATTAAAGAAAATGTTTGCTGATACAACTGACATGTGATTGTTGTAGTAATGATGATTAAATGTCATGACTGCACAAGTTTTATATAAAATTTTTCTTACCTTTAGATTCAAATGGGTGAAAGATGCAGGATGTCTGTTTTGGAAATCTGAGGAGCAGGAGCGAATGCTCTACGAGTTTCATGGGTTAGAGAAGGGAGAGCTCTTCAGGTGTGCCCCCTTTCTATGGGATGGCTATATGTGCCTGTGTCACTGCACCCTTATTGCTACTCAGCAGACACAGCTCTAGCCTGGGAGCCTGCCTGAGCTGCCTGTGAACCACATACCTCTGTAGAACCACTGATGCCTCATCCTTGTCGCTCTTAACACCCAGTATGAGTACAAAACTGGAGACAAAAACTATGAAGGGGAACTGGTGGGAAACGCCTTAGATTGCTTATACTGATATTGCATATAAGCTCTTTGGGCAAGGGTTAATTGCAGCTAATACTTATGCAGGATTTTGTCAAAGGTCTTCACTTTGGTGTGCTGCTACCTCATCACTGAAGAAAAGAAAATGAGCTTCTGCTGCTCAAGGCTTTGGAAAATTCCTAATAATTTTCTGCCCCAGTAACATGCTTTGGAAAATTTGCCTGAAGTAAGCTTACTTGTTTGTTTGGGAGAGGGAGTGTTCAGGCTTGTAAAGCATAAAGCATAGTCAACAACCATTTTTTGCAGACCAGGCTATTTTAGAAATGTAGCAGTTGAGTTTTCTGAAAGTCATGCTTCACTTTAGAAAATACTGAGCTGTTCTTGTGTCTGTATCAACTTGAGAGTTTAAATCAAACTAAGAATCTTGAAGAAGTAAGTCTTTAAGGGTTTGAAGGGATGGACTTTAGAGTAAGCAAATCCTACTTTTTAAAGAAATTGACAATTGTGTCATTATGTTATGCTGCAGTTTTGTATGTTTGCTGTGATGATGGGAATTAATTCCAAGCCAGGCTGATCACCAACTGACCTGAGCCAACTTTTGTTGAGATTTCCAAAGTGCTGCACAAGAGATTTGAAGGCAGCAGTCTGGGGGCATGTGACAGTTAATCTCTTTAGCGGTAAGAATGAAGTTTAAGCATACTGTTGGAAATGTACTCGGTTCTGTGCTGCTCTTTGTTTTGAGTAACAATCTCTCTCTAGAGTGGGAGTGTAAACTTCTTTGCACTTTAGTCTAATTAAATCACGCTTGGAGGCTGTCAATGGTGGGGAGAACTCCCCCCTACCCCCCTTTTTTTTAATTGTTCAGTGAGTCTGTTGAATAATGAAAGAATTTGCCTGACAGTTTTGTAGAGTTTCGTTGTCGATGAATTACTGCAGAGGATAGACGACAATCTTTAGTCCAGAATGCACTGGAATGATTCATCCAATTCCTCGGAAAGTGACAATGAAGCTCATTCAGCCTTTACACAGACTGAGCACAATATAGTTGCAGCTTACTTAATAACAGCAGGTATGGGCATTAGCAAATTGTTGTGTAACCTTTAAAAATAGAACTGTAGATTTGCATGCTCATTTTGTATAGTAACAGCAATAGTATTTTGTTTTGTATTATGCAAATGTCTGATGTCTTTTCTCCATCGTTTACTGACAAGTTAGCAATCAGCAGTCTGAAGTGTGCAGAAACATCTGAAGCGTGCAGAAACATTTAAGTTCTCTGCTCTATATTTAAAGGCTGCGTTGTGTCTCAAAAAATATATTTTGTTAATATGTAATTATAGAAGAGAGTGAGAATTAATTTCTGCCAGCTTGCAAAAGAGATAAAAATAGGGCATAGCTGTCACATCTTGCATTTTTCTGTGATGCACTTGAAGCTATCTTGAGATTTCTCCTGGGCCACATGTTTGTAGTAATATATGTGTAAGTCTGAGCATGTGAGCGGGTGTCTGTTAGGGGGATGTAAGGGGAAGGGTTGGAATGTGTCTTAGAGGGAGGGAGCTGGTCATTAATCAGAGAAGAGCAGACTCCAGTTGCAGCTGTATTTTTCACCGATGACACATGTTAGAAAAATGACGCTTGACATTGTGTTCATTCCCTGTGACTGCAACGGCCTTTGGCTAAACTTGAATGATTATGGAGTTGTTATTTTTTTCCCTTGAAAACTTTCTCATTGTTATAACCACAACGGCTTCAGAAACGTCTTTCTGAAGCATTGAGTGCTATAGCAATGAAATATCAACTTGACCAAAACCTGAAACCCGCTGTGTTTAAAAATAGACCTTCTATACCTTTATTATGGAGAATTAAGTCAGTTTATAAATACTTTTATTCATAGACTATACCATACGTTTTCTATGTTCTAATTAAAGACATGGATGATGGTCAAGTATTGGAAGGCTAGATACACTCTACAGTACTACCACACTATTTGCAGGTAACTGGATCTATTAGGTACTGCAAATGTATGATAATTGCTATGTTTTAATTAAAATTGATTACATTGTATAAACAAGGGGGTCTTTTTGGATAGTTTGACCACCTGGTGTTAGGAATCAAAGCTATTGTAGGTGATCAGTGGGATTACCCAGAATCAACCCAGCTCTTTCTTAAAACTTGCAGGCAAATTAAATGTTTGTTTTTGGTTTTGTTTTTTTAAATTAGATTACTTAGTGGGTTTTTTTACTTTTTAAAATTTCTTTCCCCCCCCCCCCGCCTCCTTTTTTTTCTTATTGTAATTGGGAGAGTCTGGTAAATCTTTCACCCGTAGCTTGGACTTCGCTTTCTTAATGAGGAATAGTCTTGACAGTAAGGTCTGTAACATCTTTGAAATTATGATTGATTGCTTTGCAAATGCCTTACTGCAGCAAATCTCACATCTGGAAAATTTAAGCTGTGTTAATAAGCAGATGCCTAAGAATAAGAATGAAGTACAGGTACAGTGTTCATCATTATGCTGCCTTTTAAAAGGTTTGAATGCTTCTCTCTTTTGCAAATAATTGCTTTGTTTTCTGAGAAGGAAGTAATTAAGTATTGCACTCTCCAGTGGTCAGTGTATTAATTTTAGTGATGACAACGGGGATACTCAAGCTGCAGGAAGCAATATTGCCTCGTGGATATCCTTCAGTTTATAATGGTGAAATGCTCTGGTATAATTTTAATATGCTGGAAAAGTAAATTCTGTGTTATACATGGACCTAACCTTCATTGTTTTGATGTTACTACCCATGTGTCTTGCTTAACTCTGTTAGGGCTTATATTTCCATTTGGTCAGCCTTTAGTTTTCATTGCTTCCCTGGGAAGAATCATAGAACCATTGAAAGGTTTGGGTTGGAAGGGACCTTAAAGATCATCTAGTTCCAACCCCCCTGCCGTCAGCAGGGACACCTTCCACTAGACCAGGTTGCTCAAAGCCTCATCCAGCCTGGCCTTAAACACTTCCAGGGAGGGGGCATCCACAGCTTCTCTGGGCAACCTGTTCCCGTGTCTGACCACCCTCACAGTTGGGTGGAGAGACACTGAAAGAATTTCTTCCTAATATCTAGTCTAAACCTACCCTCTTCTAGTTTAAAGCAATTTCCCCTTTTTCTGTCACTACCTGCCCTTGTAAAAAGTCTCCCCAGCCTTCCTGCGTCCCCTTCAGGTA